AGAGTTTTTATCCTCTTGTCAGTTTGGTTCTCAACAAGGTTAGCCCATTCAACAAATTTATCAAAAGCCTCATCCTTGGTTTTCAAAAAATAAAGCCAAACTTTCCTAGTATAGTCATCAATAAATGAAATAAAGTATTGGCACTTACCTAGGGACAATGGCACTGATGGAGCTCCCCATAAGTTAGAATGCACATACTCTAGCTTCTCTCTTGTATCATGTTGAGCTAAGTTGAATCCAATTCTTTTTGCTCTACCATATATGCAATCCTCACAGGTTTCCAGAGTAGATACTTTCTTCTTGTCTAGGAAACCATTCTTCAATAACAGGTTCATATTTTTCTGACTCATGTGACCAAGTCTCTGGTGCCATAGAACAGTATCATCTTCTCTTTTAACCACTGATAGTGATTCTGCTAGCACTGGACTCCATTGTAAGAGATATAGAGTATCACACCTTCTTCCAGTAAGCAGCACACTATCTCCTGCCATGATACTGAGAACTCCATTTTCTAACTTAAATCCATAGCCTGCTTTCTCAAAAGTTCCAAGAGACAACAAATTTCTGTCCATGTCTGGGATGTATCTTACATTTGTAAGTAGAACCACCAGACCAGCTTCACTTTTGACACGGATTGATCCAATCCCTTTAACTTTTGAAACAGTCTTGTTTCCCATTCTCACAGACCCACCAACATCTTCATTAAGATCTTCGAACCATTCCCTCATGTAAGTCATATGATAACTACAGCCGATATCCATGACCCATTCATCTTCAAGATGTATGTCAGTAGAAGACAAGGCTTCAGACACATACAAACCGTTGGCCTTTGCTAAGTTTCCTTTCCCTTTAGACGATTCTCCTTTGTTGTTATTACCCTTATTCTGAGACTGAGTCTTATTCTTATTAGGACAGGACCCTTTGAAATGTCCTTCCTCTCCACATATCCAACAGCCCTTTTTAGATCTTGATTTAGATCTAGATCTTTGATTCTTGCTATTGTTACCCTCTCGCTGCTCAGATCTTCCTCTGGTCTCATTCTTTTCTTTTGCATAAAGACCCTCAGCCTGACCCTTTATACTTTTCTTGTTAGAACCTAACTCTAGTTCCTTAGAGTAGATAGCTGCTACAACCTCATCTAGCGTTAAAGTAGTCCTTCCTGAACTATACTTTAAAGTATCTCTTAGTTAATCAAATGGCTTAGGTAAAGACATCAATAATAGTATAGCTTGATCCTCATCCGACACTAAGACATTTGTATTATCTAGATCAGCTATAATATGTAGAAACTCGTCGATATTACCTTCAATGCTGAGATTTTCAGACATTTTGAAGCTGTAAAGCTTCTGCTTCAGATAGATCTTGTTTGGAAGCGCCTTTGACATGTATAGCTTGTCCAGTGCGATAATCATAGCAGCTGCAGTCTGCTGGTTCTTGATCTTTCTTAAAACCCTATCAGTAACACTCAACACGATGGTGCTTCTCGCCTTTCTTAGTTTTTCTTCCAAAGCTTCACGCATTATTATCTCTTCTTTCTCTTCTTCTTTAGATAACTTCAGATCTGAAAATTTCTCCACCAAAACGTCAACTTGTTTAAGAGCAGAACTCAGGCCAAGTATATCCAGATGTGCTATGAGTTTTTCCTTCCACATGGTGTAGTCCCCGCGCCCATCAAACTTTTCAACCTCTATTCTCGCCGATGACATGGTTCACTGACTTTGAGTCTTTATAGAACCAGAGACAAATGAGCCTTAGCTCTGATACCACTCTGTAAGGTATCCTTTAACCCCAAGGCGTCGACTTTCCTTGAGAGAACACCTCACAAACCAAGAACAGAGACACACGGAACCAAGTGTGAAACGCAGAGAGAAAACAGAGGAAGTAGAACAGAGTGTTTGGTGTTTGTTGAGATGTAAGAGAGATAGAGAGTGTTTGAAAAAACAAGTAAAGAGAGCACACAAGAGCTTTGGTAACCCAGTTCACTCCCAAAGGGTAGCTACGTCTGGGCCGAGTATGATACTCGGAATCCACTAGATTCAAGACATAGATTACAATCAAGAAACAATAAGTGACCCACTTCTATGCCCTTCACTAGCACTAGAAGTTCACTCTATCTGTTTCTAACCTAGAGAAAACTCGAAATAAGTTTATACAAATACAAGTTTTCTCTCCTCACTCTATCTCACAGTAATACCCTACTCTCTCTTCTCCTTAAACGTTCCTTTTATAGCAATAGCATAGGGAACCTGTGCAATGACCTAAAGCAGACGCTCCTCCTATCTTGTCGCTGGTGACAGCTCATTGGAATCGCCTTCACAGATGAGACAAAGACTGCTTTATCATTTGAAAGCACCAGAAGACAACGAGTACGGAAGCCTTGCTGGCCATGTAGCCGTTTCTCCTATCTGTGGTCCCAAAAGCAACCTTATCATGATTCAATCTACATCAACCTTAGTAAGACATGAGTTAAGAATAAGAGTCCTTATCTTATTGTGTCATAACTTGGTCATCACGGTTTCATCTTCACAATAATAACACTTAATTACGACATCATATTTAACTAAAATTTTAGTTAACAATATTTGATTAACTAACTACATGTTCTGTTTATATATATGTTAAACTAGGTCTTGTAACTTGTAAGTTGTAAATTAACTTTCAAAAATACACGAATTTGTAACACTAAGTACAATATAATGCACATACATCGTTTTTTTACATCTGAAAATTTTATAGTAACGAAATGGTGTGCTCAATAAAATGTAAAATATAGTAACGAAGAATGATAAATAATAATGTAATATTATTATAATCAATATGGGGCCATATATAGAATCCAAGCTCAATTAATCAGAAAAATTAATAAATATCTAAATATTGAATGAATATGCATGACCTTTCATGTCTTGTGTAGTTGCATTTTGTTTTAACTACCTCTAACAGAAAACTAAACATTCTCTCGTCTATATATACATGCAAAATTGAGGTGTATGTATATGTAATTAAATATACATGCAAAATTGAGGTCTATGTATATGTAATGTAACGATAAATCTATGTTTTTTTTCGTGAATTATTAAATTCATATTTTTTTTACACAGCAAATTGTTATTTGTAAATTTGTTAAGATTTAATTAATCAATAATGGATAGAGGATTTTGTTATTGTTTTTTTGTAAAGTGACAAATATTGTGCTATATTTTATACTGTTTTTATGAAGTTTTTTAATTCCAAAACTAAATATAATTAATAACAATGACATATATATATATATATAAGGGCGTATGTAATATGTTGTTTTATTCTTCTTTGAGGTGCAATGCATATTGTCATTAGCTCTTTGGTAATATTCAGCTTAAAATATTATAATCGTTGATCTCCAAAACTTAAACTCCACATTTTGGGATCAGTCCAAATTTAAAGCATTAAATTAAATTCAGCAACTTTGAAATGGTCACATGTAACAACGTTCATTGAAATCAAAACATAACAAAATCATCATAATGGTGCCCACCAAAAAAAAACTATACTCTAATTTTATAAAATAAAACAGATCATATGGGTTTTAGATAGATACATTGAACTATATACCATTTTCTGTCTTCAATGATTAAAAAAAAAGTTTTCTTTTAAGTATTAACTTATTATTATAAAAATAAAAATTCTCAGCAGCCATTGTTCCTGTGTGAAAATTAATATGGTTGTTACTTGTTATTGGTTAGTGTTGCATGAGGACCCATTATTTTGAATTTGCCAAATCAAAGGAATAGCAACGGGACAACCACGTCTTTATATTCACTATTCTCTTGCACAAATATATATCGGATTCATAATTATATATTAGATTTTCTGCAAGATAACACTCTAAATTGATATTTTTCTAATTATATATTCTATGTAAAAAACAGATAACTTCCGCGATTCAAAGAATCAAAGCTAATATGCAATATAACTCATCATCACTACAATCAGAATTGTAAAATTGTGATAAATCATATACCAAATTTAAATTTAAATTTTCACTATGATCCAGTGATTCTCTTAGTTTTTTTTTTAATTTTGGATCTCTCATCCTCATTTTCGTTCTTCTCACTCTTGGAGGGAAACCCTTCAAATGAATGTGTTAATTTATTAGCAAAGGTTTCACAAAAAAAAAAAAAAAATTATTAGCAAATAAAATTGTAACTTCCTTAAAATCATTCATACCTTCTAAAATCTTTCATAGCCATATACATAAAAGAGAAGTCACGACAAAATGTATCTATAATAATTTTTCTTATACAGTAAAAACAAATCTACAATTCCAATTATGTATTTTACTTACAGCAAGTAAGTAGCAACCAAAAAAAAAAAAAAAAAAAAAGAAAAAAAAAAAGAATGTAGCAACCAACAGTAAAAGTGGTAATTAATAGTCAACTACGCCGTTTTGACTTTTGAGACCCAAATTAAATGGGCATTTAGTGTAAGCCCATATTTAAATTAATTTTATTAAGAAGCCCATATATTAGAATTCAAGTTCGAATCTTGGAACCAGACACGCCATTATAAATCCTGCGGCTCTCTCATTTCACCTTTCTCGTTCTCTTCGCTCTTGTTCCTTGAAATCATCAAAACCCTTAATTCTTCATAAACCCTAGCTTTGTAGGTAAGTATGAACATCAATATCAATCTCAGAATCAGTGGCGGACCCATTGAGGAAGTAGGTGTGTCACTTGACACAGGTAAAATAAATATATGTGGACTTTTGTAGCATAGTTTTAAGATAATTGGTAGCAAAGTTGGCAAAATCTTGCCCATTGACACCCCTTTCCCCGAATTTGATCTCCCATTTTGACAAATTTGGCAATATTTTTTTCCTTTTTCACAACTTTTCAACGTCTCTTCTATATATTTTACCTCTTTTTCATTTTATTATATCAAAATGCCTCTTTAGGATATAATTTTTATTATTATGCTATAAATTATATGATATAATTTTATTAATTTTTATGACCCCGGTAAAAATAATTTTTGGGTCCACCACTGCTCAGAATTATCTTTTGTCTAGATTTTGTTCGCATTTCGAATCGCTTGAATAAACTCTGACTCAATTCGATTTGCATGTGTGTTGTTTCTTAACAGAGTCGGTTCGAAAATCATGGATCATCAGACCGAACCAGTTGATAAACAGCCCGAACTACTAGTTATTTACGTCTGCGGAGGTAAAAGCTCAAAAATTTCATGCAACTATGAATTTAAAACCAAAAAAAAAAAAAAAAAAAAAAAAGAAATGGAAACTTAATAATACTATGTGCTTAGTCTCTCTGTAAAAGATTGTAATTTTGTGGTTTGGAATGTCAAACACCAAAAACTACTAAATCATAGGAAGCTTTCTGATTATTTTTGTAATTAAAGTTTGCGTTTTTGTCTATAGTTTTCTTAATTTGTGTGACTGAATCATTTGGTTAATTTTGAAGATTGTGGAGAAGAGAACATTTTGAAGAGTGGAGATGTGTTCCAATGCAGAGAGTGTGGGTTCCGTATTCTCTAAAATAAGCGTATTCTCGACAAGAAGGGTACCCGTATAGGTAATGTAAATACTCTCTTTTGTCTTTGTTCTTATATTGTGACACTGAGTTATGGCACAATTTCGAATCTGTCTTGAGTTTGTACCTACATTCTGGTCTACCCCATTTGTGTGTTTGGATTGCTAATCTGTTGGTTTTCTTCGACATACAAAATCTAGATGTTGTGAACTTGTTTCCTGCTAATTATATAGTCCTTTATTTTTCTTGCAGTTCAACACAAAGCTATCTGAGTGCCACGCAACTCCTGAAGATAGTTCAAAGTAGACTTATTGCCAGTTGTTTGTAATATGTATTGACGTGGTTTTTGGTATATGGTCTGTTTTAGTTTGAGTGTGGCTGTAATCTCTTTGCTTTTTTCGTATCCTGGAAAACTGTAACTTCTCAACAAAGTTTTCTGGTTGGTGTTGTAATCCCTGACTGGCTATATTTCCTCTAAATTTATTTATCATTTGCCACTTAAACAAGGCAAAACATGTATTTGGTCAGCTTATAAGGTGAAGGAATTCTTCAAGATGATTTCATGGAGGGTGGTGCTGAGATCATCAAGTCAGATGTGCTGTGAAAAAGCACAAAAAAAGAGTAGCCATGATTTAAAATGCTTCAACATGCAAATGGCCTCAAAGGCTCAAAATCTCACCATGTGATTAAGGTCTCTCTATCGTACACACCCCATCATTGTATCCCCTCTTCATTTCTCTTAACTCTTGTCTACTACCCTCGTACTTGCCTGCCTTGTCCTCAGTGTCAAGATCATCTCCATGTCGTTTTTTGCCTTCACCATAACCACGAGAATCTTCTCCCTGTCATGACGATTGTGCTCTCTCTTCTCTCGCTTGGTATTTTTAGGTAGATCACCGTCAAACACCATTCCATGTCGACCTTGTAAAACATTTTTGTAGATTAATAACTTTCAAAGTAAATAATTGGAAACGAAAGGAAGGATTTCATGATTTGTTTGGGTCTAATTAAAGAGGAAAATGAGCTTTACCCTTACCCTTTTGGGAGTCTTTCCGCCGGAAATGTGATCACCAAACGTGTGTCCACATTTTGACTGAAATATACTTTGTATTCTATTATTCTTGTATCATCGATTGATATATCTAGAGTTTGACATCGAAAAGAAGAGAAGGAAACAGAGCCAAGGTCAACTTGCCGGGCACCATAATCATTTGAGATTTGTTAATAAATTCGGCAAGTCATCCTTGGCTCAATCTCATTCTCTATTTTTTCCATGCAAGACTCTATGATACAATTAGTGACTCTCGTCAATCATCATGCATCATTTCTTTTTTGTACCTCTCATATTGTCTTGTGATCTTGTTATGACAAAACCCTTACTCATGATGAAGGTATTTATAGACATGTGTAGTGTAATTGAAATTTTAAAGTTTTTGCATAAACTTATATGCAATTATTTAATAGAATAGTCAATAGTCTTATCCATGCATGGTTTTAGTGCATGCAGGCAAAAAAATGAAAACGATAGTGGAATTTTGACCACTACCGTATATTGAATTGAAGAATACATTTATGATTTATCTTATTCGAATTCCAAATTTTGGGTGAATAATTAATAGTCGTACCTCACTAGTCACTCCTGCAAAAGGCATATATCTTATATATCTGCGGCATAATTAAAAATCCACCTGTCGTACTTTTCTTATGATTGGACTCATATATGATATATAGTCTCGACTCTTGTGGTTGATGAAACAAAAGAAGTTATCCATCATCTCACAACAAAATTGCCGACAAAATCGTCTTTGTTTTTAAATGTCAACAAAATCGACTTCGTTATAAAAGATTTTTTTTCGTTTTCGTTGTCGGTTTTTTAAATGATCAAGTTTTGTTTTGCAGTTTCTTTTACTTCGAGGTTGATTTTTGGTAACTTGATATATATATTTTGTTAATTTGCGTTTTTCATAAAATACTCTAAATTAGACTTTTTTGTTTGCATGAATAATTAATACTCGCACCTCACTATGTACTTCAAAGGCATATATATATCGTATCAGTCTGCGACATAAAAATCCACTATTCGTACTTATTGTATGGTTTGGACTCATAGTCTTTGGTTAATGACAAAGAAAGGGATTATCGATCGTCTCACAAAAATTGAAAGATACTTTATAATATTCATGTTCCTTTTTTATTTTTGAAGAATTGCCACAACTTTCAAAATTTTGGATAAAATGGAATATAAATATCGACAAAAATGGCATATATATAGAAAATTCGAGATTTTTCTTTATGTTGAGAATATATTATTTGGAAACTCATCTTATTGTCAAATGAGCACTAGTACAGTAAGTAATACAGTGCAATTAATTGACTTCTTTTTATCACTCACTAGGCACTAGTAATTTTACTTTTGTTAAAGGGCTTCACTATACAGTAAAAGTGCAAAATTTCTTCATATATGAATCTGATACTAGAAAAAAAAAGAGAGAAAATTTTGATGTAGATGAGTCATGAGTGTAATAGTTGACCAAAAATGGTGTTTTTAATGTTCCAAAGAATCCTGACAACAAAAAAAGATGTTCCGAAGAATCTTATCTTATTTGTGGTCTGACCAAATTGGTATCTATTTGTTCAATCGGATAGGACATTTCATACTCTCATGATGTGATACATCAATAGATAGAATAAAATTAACTTTATTGCTTAAATTGGTTTAGTAATTTTTCTACTAGCTTGTCCTTATGAATTAACATCAAAAGAGATCGAGTTGTTTTCAGTTCAAACACTGATACAAGTAAATAACCATTTCATTTCTCGAAAAGAAAGAAAGAAATGAAACCGTTGATGTAAATCCCTTTGTTTTTCTTAATTTTTTTTTGGTTAGAAAGTTTCATAACCTATATACTAATTGGAAAAACTATTCTTTATTTTTTTCCACTAAGAATGTAAATATTTATTGATGATGAAATTTTTTAGGTTTACAATCAAGATTCTAAACCTTATATATATTTGGTCCAATGGTAAAAAAAATTAAAAATATGAAAGCAAAGTCCTAAACTTAAACTCAGTCAATTAATTCGACGAAAGCAATGAAACTATCAGTGTAATTAGATAAAGTGAAAACGATTTTGTAAATCACCAAATTGAGCTACTAAGAGAGTAAGAGTGAAGAACAACGATGCAAAGTGTAAAGACCAACAACGGTGCGTTGGGCTAGTGATTTAAGTGCAGGGATTGGATCCATGTGCTCTCTAGTTCGAATTTCCGGTGGGAGGGATGCTTTACACCATGTTATAAGGTATTAGCAAAGGCTGGTTCTGGACCATGGGAAAGATTAAGGCCTAGGCCCAAACCTCTTCCTAGTTAACAAAAATAAAAATAAAAATAAATAAATAAATAAATGTAAAGACCAATGCAACGTACACACACTCCTAACAGTATAAGCCTTTCACTTTGAGCCCGAGAAAACGGAACAGACAACAAATTAGAACACAAAGCCCTTCGAAAGATAGGAGCTCTTCGAACTAATCCATGAGGGAAACTCATAGCGAAACTACCTGAACCATACAATTACAAAAACTATAGTTTTGCTACCAATACGTACATTGGCTATTACACATAATTATTATAAAGAATCTTTCAGGTTTAATTTGTTAGACGATCGATAACTTCTTATTGTCGATCAAACCACAAGAATATGAGTCTAATACCAATAAGAGTAGGACAGGTGGATTTTATGTCGTAGACTATATAGTCTATATATATAGATGTCTTTGGTTTAGCTCGTGAGGTTCGAATATTATTTGGTCACACAAAATTGGAATTCGAATATGATAATATAAGGTCAGCCAATCTTCTAAAATGATTATATTCTTCAATATACGATAATGGTCAAAATTCCATTATTGTTTTTATTCATTGCACTTAAAGTCTAAAACCATGGATGGATAAAAAGAGTACTATTCTAATAAATAATAATATTTGCATATAAGTTTATGCAAAAACTTTAAATTTCAATTAAATCAACACACATTTCTCACTACACTACACATGTCTATAAATACCTTCATCATGAGTAAGGGTTTTGCCATAACAAGATCACAAGACAATATGAGAGGTACAAAAAAGAAATGATGATGATGATTCACGAGAGTCACTAATTGTATCTTTGAGTCTTACATGGAAAAAATAGAGAATGAGATTGAGCCAAGGATGACTTGCCGATTTTTATCAACAAATCTTAACTGATTATGGTGCCCGGCAAGTTGACCTTGGCTCTGTTTCCTTCTCTTCTTTTCGATGTCAAACTCTAGATATCTATCCATATATCATATCATCATCATGATTAGGTGTTGTAGTATCATTGAAATGTGTTTTTAATGCAAGTATTTGCTGAATAATTGATCTTTTTATAACTTTATCCTTCGGAGCCAGACAACAAAACCTTTTTCTGTTAGTAAAACATCTCCATAGACCATTTAAATAGATGAATCATGCATACACCAGAAGCGAAAAACAAACAAAGATCAAACAGAAAAATGAAAAAGTGAAAACATCATCAAGATTAGGTGTTGTATTTGTTTTTTTAGAAGAAGTCTTTGTTTTTTTTTAAATGCATTCATTCAACACCAAAAATCTGTCTGAGCTTAAGGACTTGTTGATAAACTTTCTCAGATTCAGGCAATGAAGCAGCAACGCTGTTGCGTTCAACACATCTCTTTCCCCAAGCCACGATCTTCGGACACTCAGCTTCGACAGAGAAGTCACCACATTTCTCGAGTGCGTAGAACCAACTGTAGAATGGAACAAGAGTTATGTCTACATAGCCGAAGGTCTCTCCTCCAAAGTAAGATTTGTCTCCAAGCTCAGCTTCAAGAACCTTCAAGCTCTCCAGAAACTCTTTCTTGCCTTTCTCTTGTTCTTCTCCTTTCTTGTTTCCCCAAATCTTTTTCCCTCCTTCAAACGAAATCTGCATTTCAACCGAATTAGAAACAGAGGATTTGAAAACTGAAATGAGTTAACAAACACGAATTACCGTTTTATCAGCGAAATCAGCCCAGAACCTTGCAGTTGCTCTAGATTGAGGATCAGTGGGTAAGAAAGATGCAGCATCGGTCCATGTCTCGTCGATGTACTGAACCTGGATGAGTGATTCAGAGATTGGTGTGTCGTTGTGGATAAGAACAGGGACTTTCTTGTGAACAGGGTTTGATTTCAACAACAGCTCACTCTTGTTCGACAGATCTTCCTCTTGAACCTCAAACTCAACTCCTTTCTCTCTCAACGCAATCTTCGTCCTCATCGCGTAAGGACTTGCCCAAAAAGCCAAAACTACAACTTTGCTATCTTCTTTCCCCATTGTTGGGTCTACAGGCTCCCTGACACAGAGACTCTAGCCAAAACCATATATATACACACTCATGAATGAAATTAAGAAATGGATATGATGAAGACGTGGGAAAGAGATTGGAGTAAATAAATTTAAGAATGTGCTGTCTAGGAGATCGTGTAATCAACTCAAAGTTTAAACCTTTAGATGGATTACAGTTGACTTACATACAACGACTTAATACGAGGAAATACAATGGATATAATGTATGATGTAATATGAACAAATCCTTGTACCAGAAACTCTCAATCTCTTGTTTTCTCCAATGCATTTAGTTTCAGAGCAGCACTACAAAAACCACAACAAACAGGAACCGCCATATGAGAAAACTCGAACCAAGTCAAAAACATTCTTGATCAAATGAAAGGAAAGAGTTTCTCGGTTTCAGACAAATTGATATCTAGAATTCAGTTGTTAGTTCAAAAATAATGATGTTCTACTACTCTTTATGCAAATTTAATAAGTTGAGGATAATAACAAACCTGTTGAGACAATATCGTTTTCCGGTTGGGCGTGGACCGTCATCAAAGACATGGCCAAGATGGGCATTACAAACAGCACAGACAACTTCTTGTCTGGGCATGAAGATGATAGAGAGGTCTAGCTTTGTCTTCACATTGTTTCCAATTGGTTTATAATAAGATGGCCACCCAGTTCCACTATCAAACTTTGTTGATGAACTGCAAAAAATCATCACATTGATCTGTTAATAACCATTCATTCATATGAATAATTTGAGAAGTTTTGCTTCATTAGTTCAACTTCTCAACATATAGAAGTACAATTTCCTATTTACACTAATAGAAACTTACTCAAATAGAGGCGTGTCGCAACATACGCAATTGTATACTCCTGGGGTCTTTGAGTTCCAATACTCCCTGAATAACAAGAAAATACTCATTTGAGTGTGAACTCCAAAATTCAGACAATCATAAGATCATTGTGATGATGTTAAAAAGGCGATAATCTTCGATGAATTCATTACATACCCAGTGAAAGCTCTCTCTGTCCCCTTCTGTCTAGTGATGTAATACTGTTCTGGTGTTAGCCTTTTCTTCCATTCATTTTCACTTAGAGAAGCATAGTCACTCTTCTCAGCCTCTGCACCATCGTAAAAAACCTCTCAAAAGCTTAGAACTCGCTTACTAGTTATATAAAAGATCATGCCATTGAATTGAAAGCAACACTGTCCACACAAACAAATGCAAAGCATGGATTGGTTCTAAGTGCTCAAGTCTCTTTGACCAACTTCTCAGAACCAATTGAGTAACCAAATGGAACATGAAACATAACAATTGGATAAAGCCACATCAATTTATGGACAAAACTCGTTAACCTAAACCCACAAAGAAAGAAACCATTTTTACGCTAATTAGGATTATGGGAAATCAACAGATAATCAGAGAGATATATAATCAGTGAAAAAGGTTAGATTTTAAAAAAGAACCTTGGACGTTGTCTGGTTTCTGAGAAGAACTAGAAGAACCCATAGAAGAAACAGAGAGACTCAAGTTTCTGGGTTTTGAAAGAGAACGACAAGCGAAGCCAGAAAGATTTGGCTTGGAGAAGGAACTGAGTCTTGTTCTTGCAGAGACGAAACTTGATTGTATTGTTAAACTACTAGAAGAAGCCATTACACAATCACACCTTATAATGGTTTTTCGCCGAAACTTGTTCAATAAACAATGTTGAAGAAGTCTTTCTTTCTTCTGTGAATGAACGAGAACACGTGGCAGGTTGAGGATGCGAGATGAGATCTGGAACTCTAGCTGCCACGTCGACGCGTTGGTGACCGTTATTGGGCTTTTAGCATGGATGTGATAAGCCCATTACTAAATCGAGAGAATATGAATTTTTTTTTTTTGGCAATTATATGGAAATTATTCTTTTTTGGGTGAAAATTACACATGGAAATCCGAAATTTTGTTTTGAGTTTTTTTTTTTAATATACCGTATTTGTTTTACGTAAAAAAATCAGTTATATTTAGTATATGTTCATTTATCAAAATGACGTATTAAAATGTCAACATGACTACATGAGGAAGAATAACAAGTATACCTATCTTTATCTAATAATTCACAAATCATTTTACTATTAACTGCAATTCTATCCATCTGACACGCGGATTAAGTCACAAATTTTCTACTTTCACTTTTTAAAAATTAAACTTTACTTTTTTTATTAAAGAAACATACACGACAGAAAAAAATAATCTTCTTTTACAAATTCTTCATCTCCTCCACAATCTTGATATCTCCACTTCGCATCTCTTATCCCGTGCAACGCACGGGTTAGTACACTAGTAAGGCTATAAGTAAGAGTAACAAAAAAATAAAAACACTATTGTGAGAACTGAGAAGTGAATGATTACACAGTTACATAAGAAACATAATCCTAGCTAGTATCCTACATACAAGTAAAATCACAGAAACAATGTTTTAATCTTTAAAATAATTGAAAAATTCGAATACAGAGTTAAGGCTAAACAAAAATAGCCAAGAAATCCATAAAAAATTGTTTCCTCAGTTACACTCCTCGGCCTTTCCTGCCTAAGATTCCTTTATTTTCTGATGCTCTTAAAAATTGTGTGATAGATAACAATTTTCCTAAGTACAAAAAAATGGTTCTTTTTATGTGTGTTACCTCTTGTGATGAAAAATGCTACAATGGGCCACCTGGTTCCTTGCCGGAGTTTGTCGGAGATTGAGAAACATTCTTTGTGTGTTACCTCTTGTGATGACATATGCTACAATGGGCCACCGGGTTTCTTGTCGGAGTTTGTTGGAGATTGAGAAACCAACGTTATTCTTTCGCCGTTCTTTGGCTTATGGTTGTTATATGCAGCTACACCAGCAATGGCTGCAAGTGAACAAAATTTAGAAGATGATCACACTTTTAAGCCTTAATCCAATGCTCATTTTTGTGTGAAATGGTAAACATAAGATGATCTTACCAATGGCATAACCAAATAAATTGATGATTGTGAGTTTTGTCTCGGCAAAGAGAAGGGCTGAGACCAAAACAACCAACCAATCTTTAACCACGCCAGCAATTCGGATAGTGAGAGCACTTGTTTGAGATATCACAAGAAAAACCGACAAATTGAGAGCAAATGTACATAGCGAATTAAGACTCAACACAAGAACATGAAAGTTCCATGTTTCCATCTTCGACTTCTCAAGAAATATCCATGGTATGAACAAGCAAATCGCGCTGCAACACACACATCAATACAAGTACAAAAATTGGGATTCTTTTCAAAGTATAAAAATTGGTGAATTTTAGGAATTTCTTCAAAAATTTTAAAAATATATATATAATGAGATTTGAGTTCTTTGATTTTGAAAATACCTGCATGGGCTCATGTAGTACATAAGAGAGAGTGGGTTTAATTTGATGCCTTTCCTCTTCACAAGAATTTCCATTAAGATTAGCCTCAAAGCTTCTGAAACAATACCACCCATTTGGTAAACAACTCCAACCCAGTTGATGTTTAATTCTCCATAAGATGCGACTAAAACACCAAAACTTATGACTGACATTATCATAAGCATCTTGCAGCTCATTATTTCAAGGCCAACACAAACTCCAAGTATAAACACAGCAACAGGCACTGCAAAACATGATTCTTGAGATCAATTATACATAACATTTTAACTAAAAATTTGCAAATGCGATTGGGAATGAGCTAAGTTCTTACTAATGGCCTTCAACATTTGGGAAAATGCAACAGTTATGTAGAGGTAAGCAGTGTTTCCTAACCACAGAGTCATTGCAAACATTGCACCTATTGGAATAACTGATGTAACATATCTGAGTACATAGAGTGATGTTTTAGTGTAAAATGTAATTAGAACTACAAAAGAAATAGAAAAATAAATTTCTTACGAAGTCTCCTTTCTTTCTTACATTTCTAATGTCATTCCTTCCTCAACCTTCATGACCTTTTAAGAAAACTAAAAATCAGAATTTAAGCTTTTTAATTTTTACTTATAAGCATTATAGAATAGGTCATAATCAATTAATAACAATGACATACCTTGAAAACCTTGGTGAGGAGAAAACACAAAACAGAGGAAAAACTCATATGTAGTAATGTCAATCCAAGTGGATAAGGGAAGTTTATTTCCTTAGATGACAGTACCCACTGCATCAGATGAAGTCAGAAATACAAATTAGGGCTGGGAAAAAAAAAACTGAAAGAAGATAAAGAGAAACAGAATGAACTAAATTTATCGATCCGAAACCGAACCAAATTGTACAATAGTCTGAACGGTAAAGTTTTTAGAGCGAATAATTGGACCAACCCCGAATTGAACTTGAAAATGAAATTTGTGTAATGGAATTTAACTAACAACTAAATAAAATTCATTAAAATCCTATATGAGTACATGTATATACAATACAACTACACATTTAAATCCACTATTAACAATAAAAATTTTATTACTATATTCTTGTGTAAAACCAAATCACATTGTAACAGAAGTACAGAACCAAACAAAGATTGTAAAAAAATAAAAGCTTTATTTCAGTTTTAAGTTTAAAGCTATCTAAACTGAACCGAATCTAAAAGCCTAATGTCAAGATCTAATGAAGTTGAATCTTGAGCAAAAAGATTCCAAATAGAAAACATAGATCCAGGAACATATATATGAATGTGAGATTTGACATTAACCTTATTGAAGAAGATTTGACCGCTAGATAGAGTAATGTAGAGAAGGATGGAAGCATACGTCACATGTTCATCTTTGAGAAAGCTTCTGATGCGATTTCGATCCGCCATTAAAGTCAACAATCGTTTTGGTCTCAAATTAGCAACTGATTTTGCCATTTTCATTTCGTATGTCTTCTTCTTCAATATTCAATAGTACCTCACTTTTCCATCTTCTAAGCAAACATTTTAAAGTTGACTAAAAGTAACGAAGAATTAGCGGATCCCACTTTAAATAACTTCTTTTCTACGAAATCCGTTTTAATTTATTTAGATGGGTCGGGTATACGGGTCCATAATGACACTATGGGCTTTGTTGACCAGCAAAATAAAAGCCCAATATAAAACCATTTGATCCAAAAGAATATACATAACTGCAAAGTCTTAAATTTTTTGTTTGAATATTTCTTTCCTGACGAAAAATCATTTCAAAATTTGTACTAAAACAAACAGAAAATTATCTTATTGTCGTGTGGTTACTGTTATTATGGATATCCATACAAAAATAACCGAAAACCAAATTTTAAAAGGAATAGAAAATAAAATAACAAAATAGAATAAAAGCAGGTGATAAAGTGGAACTATAGAATCCCAGCAATTGTTAAAAAGTAGAAAAGAAAAATCCCAACGAATCCAAAGATTTATGGAGTACCCTTATTATTATGCCAATTGCTTGCAATTATGGAGAAAATAAAAGTTCATACAACATATTCATTTTTTTTGTTGATGTGTTAAATAACAAACAGAAAGACAAAAAACCCTATCCAATATCCATAACAAAAATAATAAATACTTAAAAAAATTATACTATTAAATAATAAATAATATTAGTAATATGTAATATGTATTTTTTTAAAATGTAATAAAGTGGTGTATGTGTAAAATGTGTAATTATTTAAAGGCCCACAAGAGGAACATAAAATAATAAAGAATCATAACTTTTCTTTTCCTTTTTATTTTACATTTGACGAAATTATTAAAAAAAAAAAATACTAAAATTTCTTAGTCCGGAAAAAAAGAGAAGCATTCTTGTGAGAGTTTTGGTCTATTTGATTTGAGTTAGAAAAAGGCCAAAACAAAAACCAAAACCCATCATTCCTTCTTCTTCATCATCCATAGCCACCGTCTGACACCACCGCACTAGATTTTATATATATTGTCTCCGATCAAACATTCTCGTCTTCTTCGGTCGGAATTCTGAAATGGGTTTTCATCAAAACTCGCAATTCTTGATTAATCTCATCAAATTTTGCATCTTTTTATGAAATTCGACTGAAGAGAGAAGGAAAAGTTCGCAACTTTTCTTTCCTCTGTCTCTTTTTTTTTTTATATTTATTTTGAGTTTTCTGATCTAATTTAATGGCTGCGATCACTGAGATGGCCACTGATTCAAATGAGGTAATCAACGATGGTGGAGACGGAATTGAGAAGGGCTTGATGAGGACGGATTCTAAACCGGAAGCCGAATCGGACCTCAAACCGAAATCTAAACCGGAATATGATCAAATGAAGAAGCTTGTAGCCATGTTCAAGAAACTCAATCCTGAAGCTAAGGAATTTTTCCCTTCTTACAAGAAGAATACTAATCAGTCTCTGTCTTCTGACGATTTTGTGATTGCTAAAAAGCCATCTGGTGAAGACAACAAAAAGGATGGCATTAACCGGAGGGTACAATTTTCATTCTGTTTCTGATTAAGTTTTGACTGAAAAGTTTGGATTTTTGGTTGTTGTTGCTGAACGGTTTTTTGGGATTATGCTTCTCAATTAGGTTCTTTGTGCTGGAAAGTCTCTAGCTTGAAGTTTCATATAGAAAGTTTTGTTTTTGGTTGGCCATAAGTTACATTGTCAAGTGTTGCAACTCTTATATGATCTTTACTTTAACATTTCATTAAGAGATTTGGTAAATTGTCTGTTTTTTGTTTTGTGGATTACAGAGAAGAAACAACTATAACCAAGGGAGGAGAGTGAGGTTACCTGGAAGAGCTTCTAAGGCTCAAAGAGAAGTTAGTATTAGAAGAACAGTATATGTCTCTGACATTGATCAGAGTGTAAGTTACTTAAAGCCTCTTTAGATTTTCAGAGAAAAAGAATTCAATTTTCCAACATTGTAACTTATTATATTTTTTTCAAATAGGTGACTGAGGAAGTCCTTGCTGGGTTGTTCAGCAGCTGTGGGCAAGTAAGTTGAAATCTATAAGCTTTATTGCTGGTTGTTATCTTTTGTTTGTGAATTAACATTGCATTCTTCTTCTAAAGGTTGTTGATTGTCGAATCTGTGGAGATCCAAATTCAGTTCTTCGCTTTGCGTTTGTTGAGTTTTCTGATGACCGTAAGTTAAAGCTATTGGGTTTTGCTTAATCTTCCTTGCAACAAAATTCAAGTGTCACGTTTGACTTACATTAGTATGAATTTGTTTTGAAAAACAGAAGGTGCACGAGCGGCTTTAAGTCTTGGTGGGACGATGATCGGATATTACCCTGTTAGAGTCTTACCTTCAAAAACTGCTATTCTTCCAGTGAATCCCACATTTCTCCCCAGGGTAAAGAACAAGACGTTCCATTTTCCTCAACTTGCATTGTAGTTTACAGTTTTATAACTAAAATTGATGGTTTCCACTATTTCCTTTGGTGTTTTATTCAGTCAGAAGATGAAAGAGAGATGTGTACAAGAACCATCTACTGCACAAATGTTGACAAGAATGTAAATACTTTTTCCCGTTAATGTTTTATATTCCATTTGCGCACTTGTTCTCTCGGTTTTGAGAGATTTCTATAAATTGCAGGCCACTGAAGATGTTGTCAAAACCTTCTTTCAGTCTGCCTGCGGTGAGGTCAGTCTAGAATCCTAAAACTTGCTTTTCCTGCTCTCATAAAGACAATATGAAGGAGGGAAAAAAAAAGAAAAAAAAAAAAGACTATAAATTTTGTGAAACAACAAAAACATTCAAGTTTTGTCTGTCTTCTCTGTAAAGGTTACTCGCTTAAGGCTTCTTGGTGATCAAGTGCATTCTACTCGCATAGCTTTTGTTGAATTCGCCATGGTAAGCTCCTCATATTCTGTTAAAACTCAGCTTCTATGTCCTCTATTGTTAGTGTTAACAAGGAATGCTAAACTTTTCAAGGCTTAGCTTTTTACTTAACAACTGAATATGCGTTTGTTTCCGGGATAAAAAGGCAGAGAGTGCAGTTGCAGCGCTAAACTGCAGCGGAATAGTCTTAGGATCTCAGCCGATAAGGTACACATTATTTCTCTTTTGTGACAAACCTTTCATTGAATATATAAAAAAACTGATATGAAATATTTTGAATTGTTCAGGGTAAGCCCTTCAAAAACACCAGTAAGATCGCGAATTACTCGATCACCATCGCCAAACTAGGAGAAAACAGAACCGAAGAGGCTCTGTTGATGAAGGAGAGTGTTGCAACATTAAGTTATTTATTTTATTGTTTCAGTTGTCTTTCTTTTTTCTTTCTAGAGCAGTTATTTTCCGGTTATGTAGTATCTGGAAAGACAGGCAACCATGAACATGCTTCTTGAATTTTGGAGTTCTTGTGCTGAGTTTTTTTTACTTATTGAGTCATATAATCTTTCTTTGAAGGAATTATTTGATCATTTTTTGTTGGTTCTTAACCAAAAAAGTTTAGAATTTAGGAGATTATAGATTTACTATCATGTTTGAAGTGTTGAACGCTTAAGTTTGGCCTAATCAATGTCTCTTATTTTGGAGTTTTTTGGGTCAATGTAAAAATATTATTCATTTCCGTCAGGTATCAAAATTCCAGGGATGGAATTGCAAAATAAATTTTTGGATCATTTTGGGTCACTAATTATGGGGGATTTTGGAAAATCGAAAAGTATAAATCCTTTCCCGTAAGGTACTCAAACTACAGGGATGAATTTACAAATATGCAGATGTTAGTCATCAGCAAACGGCGACGTTTAAGAAAACCCCCATTTTCCGATTAAACACAGTAGGAGTAACTCAAAACCCTCAAAAATCCTCAAATCATCGCCATTGAGATAGCTCTCACAGATGAGAAGTGCTTTAGGAAGAAGATTCTCAAACCCTAATGGCTTCACTATTGCATCCATAGTCAAGCAAACTCCATTTCTTATCCAATCCACATCTCATTTCTCCTCTTCCTCCGACTCCTCCGGCCGTGGTCGTGGACGCGGTTCCGGTGAAGATGGAGGATTTCCCGCCGCTGGAAGGGGACAATTCGGTGTAAATCGTGAACCGGTGGCTCCCGGACGTGAACCGTCATCTGCTGGAGGTTATGGTCATGGTCGTGGTCGTCCGATCCACTCTGATTCGATTTCTCCTGCGTTTTCGTCATTTGTCAAATCTGATTCTCCTAGCGTTGGCCGTGGAAGAGGATCCGTTGGATCAGATTCCGTTTCACCTTTCGCTCCTGAACCTCCTCGCCAACCGCCGCCGCCACCGCAGCAACAACAGTCTCAATCGCAGCAGCTGCGTTCACCACCACAACAGCCACCGCGTTTGCAAACGCAGCCCAATGATGAATCTCAGGGAAGTCCTGTATTTGTGAAGCTGCAGGAGATGCAGGACGCAACTTCGTCTCCACTAACACCAGAGTCTAAATCTGGTCAAGCTGATCCACCTGATAACATATTCAATGCCTTAGGAAGTGAATTTTCACATCCTATTGGAGCAGGTCGAGGAAAGCCTCTTGTGGAATCTGCTCCAATCCAACAAGAAGATAACCGCCAAATTCGACGCCCTCAGCCTCCACCTCCGCCGCAGCAGCAACAGCAACAAAGAGCACAACCGCAGCAGAAGCGGGCTCCAACTGTCAAGGATGAAGCTCCTAAACCTCAATTGAGTAGGGAAGAGGCTGGAAGAAGAGCAAGGAGCGAGCTTTCGCGTGGTGAAGCTGAAGGAGGTGGTGTGAGAGGAAGAGGAGGGAGAGGAAGAGGAAGAGGAGCAAGAGGGAGAGGGAGAGGGAGAGGTGGTGACGGATGGAGAGATGATAAGAAAGAAGAAGAAGGTGAACAAGAGGCTATGAGTATATTCGCTGGAGATTCAGCTGATGGAGAGAAGTTTGCTCAGAAAATGGGACCTGAATTGATGAAAACGTTAGCAGAAGGTTTTGAGGAAGTTTGCGAAAAGGCGTTGCCTTCTACTACTCATGATGCCATTATAGATGCCTATGATACCAATCTCATGGTAAATGTTTCTTTGTTTTGTTTTCTCTATGAATTGTCGAGAAAGTATACAACTTGCTACTGAGATTGCTGACAGTGAAACTGCAAATAGTATTAGGAGTAGTGAATTCTCAAGAAGCAATAGTATTGATATTGATTCATACTCTATAATGTGGTAGAATTGGTTGTGGTGGCTTTGAAGTTGTTTGACTTAATATGCACAATTTACAAAAGTAGGCCACTAACTCGTCTTGTAGGATTCTCAGATTTATAACAGCCTCTTGAGGTTATTGTTCTTTCATTGTGAAATCGGTCTTTCAGTCATAGGAGCGATGGAGAGTGTCTTTTTTGTTGGTTTTTGAGTCTCTTAGTTTTCTCTATCTCTTTTGCTTTGCAGATTGAGTGTGAGCCAGAATACATTATGGCGGACTTTGGATCGAATCCTGACATTGATGAGAAGCCACCAATGTCTCTGCGCGAGTGCCTTGAGAAGGTGAAGCCTTTCATAGTGGCTTACGAGGGAATCAAGGATCAAGAAGAATGGGAGGTAATACTGTTCAATTTGTGAATTTTGCTTTCTATGCATCCATTCAATTTTTGCATAGGTTGATGATCACTTGAATTTCTCACTTTTTGCAGGAAGCAGTTAATGAAGCGATGGCGCAGGCTCCCCTTATGAAAGAGATTGTTGATCACTACAGTGGTCCTGATCGAGTAACTGCGAAGAAACAGAACGAGGAACTCGATAGTATTGCTACAACGATTCCCGCAAGTGCACCTGATTCCGTGAAACGATTTGCAGATCGTGCAGCTCTTACTCTTAAGGTTTGATCTCTTTAACCAAACCCCCAAACTCTTCATCTAAAATCACTCTCTTATGATCAGATATCTCTACAGAGGTATTGATGTTTTTATGAAACTTTTGGCAATGCAGAGTAATCCTGGTTGGGGATTTGACAAGAAATACCAGTTCATGGACAAGCTCGTTTTGGAGGTGTCACAAAGCTACAAATAGAGAACTCAGGTTTCCTACTTTATTAAAAACCTTCATCGCCGATTGAGTTTATAGATAGATCGTATTCTAGATCTTGCCTCTACTTAAAACGGTACCCATTTCTTTTGAACAAGTACTCGAAATTTGGGCGTTAGCTTTTTCGTCATACGTTTTGAGGGTTTCCGTAATAACGGCATTGTTCTTTCGATCTTTGTTACTGAGTAGATTGAATTGTATCCTTGACTGTTTTGGGATCTGTGTAATCGAAAAGCGAATGATTCTTGACTGTTTCAGGGTTATAAAGTCTTATACATGCCTTAACAGAGAAGGCAAAGAGAGAGAGAGAGAGAGTAGTGTGTTGGTTCATTGGAAATCTTTTTGTATTAACAATTCCATAAAAACATATATGGTCACTTGCGATAGTTGCAGCTGCGGTTGTGGCCGCCGCTTCAACCGTAGCCACGAACTCGCCACAGACTAGCATTCATACTGGTTTCTTTAGAAGTTGATATGTACACTGGTTTCCATCTCTTTAATTAGTTTAAGGTTATTTTACCATACTCATAAAATATTTTGAATGAAAAAGTACTTTGAAGACTTTCTAATTTATCACTGCAAATCACAAAGTATTCTTCGTACTCAAAAAAAGAGAAATTAATATGCCTCGTAAAAAAATTCACTATATGAAACGGAAATCGAAAAACTGAAAATAAAAATTAGATTTCACTGAAGTTTGAAGTATAAGTATTGTAGTATGAGTGAGCTTCAAAATTCCAAAACGAAAATTCTTAGTGATAATTAAAGAGAAAAAAACCAAAGAAAAATAAAATTATGTGATACGTAAGAAGTAATAAAAATCAATTATTACAGAACCATTTTCTTAAGTAGTATAAATTTTGTAATCGATAGTTAATTGAAACATCGTTCTGTTTTGTTTTAACTCTATTTAGAGCGCGTTGAGAGAAATTGTGGCCAAAATTTCGCTAGTGGTTAGTCTTGTAGACTTATTGGACCTCCAATAATGCATGTTGTATGTTATCCGAATATAGGACTCTACATTTACATCTCTTTGATTTAGGAGTCTCGAAAGTCCTTCCCGGAATTAGATTAAAATCAACAAATTTCTAGTTTCCTTATCTAATGCTCACTAATCCCTCATTATGTCATATGCATCTTCCTCATTTATCTTTAACTCTGCTAAGTTCTATAGAGATATTATCAATTTTCCAAACGAAACAAAGAAACCATGAAATTCGATGATAACTACAAACTTATTGTTATAGTCATCGGCGGCGTTTTAGCTGGAGTTGCTGTCGTTATGTTTTCCTGTTACAAGAACAAGAGGAAGAACCTTCAGCTACCGGAGCTGACACAGACACCGGAGTGGCAGCGACAAATTGTTTCTGCTCCTACACTTCAGACAAGAAACATTGATGTCGGAAATGGTAAGAGACATGATGTTTATTTTTTATAAAAAAGTTTAATTTTCATTGTGTGTCCCAGATTTGACGTTGATTGTTCATGAAGATCGCTTGTGGGGTAGAAGCGACACCGTTGTGAATAAATCTATTATTCCACTTAAGCCAAACGCTTTCAACGATAGCTTGCGATACCAGAGGCCTAAAAATTTGGAGAGGCCTCGGGGACAGAGAGATGATGGGACTGCGGCTTCTACTTCAGCATTTGGTGGTGGTTGTGTTGCCATTAGCGGTGGTGACAACGGTTGTGGTGCTAGTCATAGTGGTGGTGGTCACAGTGGTGGTGGTGGATGTGGTGGTGGGGGAGGAGGAGGTGGATGTGGGGGCTCTTAAAATTTGAGGTTTTCTTAGTTATTAGATAATGATTATTCTTATCTCTTTTTGGGCATTAGCTTCTTCGTCATATCTTTCAGGGTTACCGTAATAACGCCATTGTTCTTTCGATATCTATTACTCAAGAGATTGTATTGTATCCTTTTTCTTTGTATATAAGGGTTTAAGCCTGTTTAATTTGTATCTATGTGATCGAAAAAAGAATGACTCTTGACTGTTTTTAGGGTTCCAGTGTCAAATACATGCCTTAAACCTAATATATAGAGAAGGAAAAGAAAGAGAGATTAGAGTGTGATTGTTCATTGAAAATCTTTTTGTTTGAACAATTCCGTATAAACATATTTGAACAATTGCGATAACTGTAGCTGCTTCAACCGTATGTCACCATCTTAGATGGTGGTGGCTTTGGTGTAACAGAATGGTCTTAAATACGTGCATTCTTTTATCTTTTCTTTTGTTCTTACCTATCATCAGACAAACAAGCGTTACGTGGTCCGAGTTCTTGTACCACACAATGTTTATCTGATTAGATATACATTAATATACTATGCGCAATTAGCTTTTAAATATACGAGTACATATAGTCAAAAGAGAGTTATTCATTTCTCAACATTTTTTCTTAGGTATGTAGAATTTGAACGGATCTCCTTTTGTCCTATGTATTTGGAAGAAATAACGGTCACATTCATTAGCATAATCGAAATTTCTTCTGCAATTTCTTGTATTGTTTAAGGCAAATAGGGTATGAATATGTCGTATTCTGATATATACAAAGTCAACGGAGATTTAGGGATAACTTTCATATAAAATGACATTTAATCATACATGTATCATTATAGATGCATCCTTTATTCATAAAACAAGGACCAAAAAGCATTTTATTATAATCTCTGTCTGTGTTTTGCTATACCATATCGATGGTTAGTATGTTTTGCGCTATCTTCAGCCGGAAGAAGAAAAAGCCTTCATCGTCTTCGTCTTCACCGTCGCGAGATATCAAAAAGGGTAAGACGGGAGAGAAAGATGGAGGGCTTCGTGTGATGACGTCAGGTAGTAAGACCAGAACTAGCAGGGCTTTTAAGCGCGGCCAAGGCTGCCTTTGTGGTGGTGGTGCCGGCTGTGGAGGTTGCGGCGGTTGTGGAGGCTAAAGCGTTTCGTTCTTTTGCAATAATGCTTTTCGTGTGATCGTAATTTCTGTATACATTAATACATGTAAGGTTTTGGTATATATGTGTGATCATCTCTTGTGAGTGGAAATTGAATGTATATTATATTGTATAATGAATATATAGGTGAAAATTACTATTTTGAAAAAAAATATAAATTAATTTTTTTACTATTTTGTAACTGTGAAATTTGTGGTTTACAATTGGCCTTACTATGCACTTTATTTTAATATATTTTAACGCTCCATGCTAATCTTTTGCTACATCAACCATTTTTATCAAAAAAATTGTGAATATATAATTACATTTATTTCGAAAATTGTTAAGAATAAATTAATCCCAAAGGTAAATTATATGAAATTTTATAGTATTTTTTAAAACTACACTATTATCCTAAAAAATTCTGCTTAACTTTCCCAATTCTTTCAATACTATTTAACTCGGTGGTTTAAGCTGTGGATGTTGGATTCACACACTCAAGTATTTTATTAAGTGGGAAAGATTATTCTTGAGAGACAAAAATGAATGTATAAAAACTTGAGAATTGTTACGAAAATTGCTATATATTTCTCTCTTGAGAGGAAATCCCCCTTTTACATGGCCATTGGCCTTTATATTTATACATAGAGAATTGTCATTAAAATGAATAATTAAGTACAATTATTCCCTCTTGAATGTGTCCGTTTTGATTCTTCGACTTTAATGCTCAACGTTTGAATTTGAGTTGACTCTGATCTTCGCGGGCCTCGCCTTTCTGGCCCAAATATCCTTGAACCATCTTACCCATGCCTTCTTCATCGAACTCATGTCGCAATGTAATCACTTCGGATGGTCGAAGTGGTGACAACCACTTCGACCGTCCCTTCGACTCCTGGGTCCGATGGGCTTCATTCTTTATGGGCCTATTATCTTGACTACGTGGCAATCTTTGGTTGGTCTCGTACTTCTGGTGCGGGATCCGACACCAACAATTAGCCCCCCAAGTTCTTCGAAGTGCTATTCCAATTCGGAGGACTTTAAATGCTCAAATAGCCAAAGATTGCGCTCGAGAATCTTTCTGATTTCCCGCCGAAAATCTCATCACTCCTTTAATTTCGGCACTAGCCTTTTTTAACTGAGTGACATCTGTCATCATTATGACCGTATATTGTTTAATTACTATTAAAACGGGAAAAACCTTCCCACTTCCCACACGACTTCCGAGGCGGTTTCATCATTAGCTTGAGGTAACTTCTTTTCACCATTACTCTCTTCTTTTTCTTTTGTACTTTAATCAAAAACTCTCTCTCTTTCTTCTTCACAAAAAAGAAATCTCTCTTCGCCGGATCTTGAATTTTTCATTTTTATTCGATGACTTCTGATTCTGAAAGACCTGAATCTCCGTCTTACGACGAGAGGCGTTCTAGTAACGACGAATGCACTCGTCCTAACGACATCGCCGGTCCTCATTACAAATCCACCTGTACTCTTCAATCCCTTGAACGATTGAAGGGGCTTTGTCAAATTCCTCCTGGAATTATAGCGGAGGCGCAAATAGCTGACCCTACGGAATCTCCTGAGAACCACCGTGCCGGCTATTTTTGCGTCTACGAAATTTACTTCAAGGGCTGCGGATTGACCTTCCCCCTTCCTGAAGCCCTAGTTCGATTCTTGGCGGCTCTCGAGATCGCTTTACCTCAATTAACCCCCAATCTCCTCCGAACCATCCTCGGGATTATAACCGTTGCGGCGGAGGCCGGCTACGTCATTGGAGTCCCCGAGCTGAATGAACTCCTAAGCGTAAGGAGTTCATCAAAGAAAACTGGGTACTTCTCAACGTATCCAAATGCCAATAGAAACGTCATCTCGCACCTCCCGAACAAGGATGAGAACTGGCACCATCCTTGGTTTCTGATTAAGAAAACTCCCGCTTCGATTGGGAATCTTTCCGATGTACTCCCATCGAAGTGGTCTGCGAAACCTGGTAGAGACTAGGTCGTATATTCCTTTATTGTTTATTATTATTTTTTACTGACCGAATTCGTTGTTTCATTTCGCAGCTTTCATCGCTTCAACTCTCCCGACCGAAGAATTTGTCAAGTTCTTCAAAACAATCCTTGAAGGGGAAACCCTTTGGAATTCTTTCACCCTCGACCGGTTTGTCGAGGCTAACCGGAAACTCAGGATGAGTCCTCCCAATCTACTTCACCGTCTTCCGCCTCCTCCCCCAACTCAGGGAATGTCAGCTCGGGCCCTCGCTGCCCAGCGTAAGAAGCTCTCCAAGCCGATAGCAGAGGCTTGTGATGAAAACAAGGCGTTCCTTGCAACCGCCATTGACAAAAAAGATTACAGCAGAACCCTGCTGGTTGATGACAACAGCTCCGAGGGAGCCAGATCTGTTGCTGCTTATAGGTTAACACCTCGCCGCGAGCGCCGCGACGAGCGTTCTCTTCGGAGCGAACGGTCTCCTCGGAGAGAGCGGTCTCCTCGTCGTGATTCTCCCCGTCCTCCCCGAGACGACTTTAGCAACGAACCACTTAAGAATTTGGTTCGTAAGAAGAGGGACAAGTCGTCCCGTGATGACTTGTCTCCGCGAAGGGAGAAATCAAGGCCCCGGACTGACCGTTCACCTCGATCCTCCCCTCCTACTGAACCAATGGGTCCTCCCCGTCCTGTTGACATGTCTTCTTCTTCCCAGCCCGTCAGCGAAAAGACTGCTCGGAGTGCATCCCCTAAAAGTGGAGATTCTGAATCTCGAGATGCTTCCTCGAGGCTGAAGCCTGCTCTTGTCCCTCAAGTCAAATCGCTTTCAGGTTTGGTGATTTACACATGCTTAAACTTTTTGTCTTTATTAAAATTCCAATTTTTACAATTTTTCCTTCTTCGCAGCTATGGAGACAGAAGGCAGCGTCTTCCGATGCTTCAAGACCCGTTCGGGTTCGATCTTGCCAGATTTCAACAAATGGCGCCCTGCAATTCGTGAACGCTATTTGCTTCACGCTTATCATTCATCTCGGGTTAGTTCCGTTTTCTTCGCCCCTTTTTTTTTTTTTTTTTTTTATTGTATTGTCATTCTACGAACTGACTCGCCATCCCGGGTTCATGTATGACGCCAGGCTCATAGCGAACTTAACGACATGGTCGAACATTACGAAGGGTTGGTCATTGGACGGGAGAAGGAGATTGATATGTGGAAGAAGAAATTCTCAGCTCTTGAGACTGAACTCAATTCTTCTGCTGGCTCCAAGCACGATCTGGAGGATAAGGTCGACAGGTTAACATCCGAGCTGGCGCAAGTAAAGGGGGAGCTGCAAGACTACTACGACCGGAATTACAAGCTCCAGGACGAACTTTCTGGTGTTCAGGGTAGACTTCATGAATCCGAATCAGCCGCCGACACCCTGAACAACCAACTTATCGAGCTTAACGCGAAATACAAGGCGCTAGCCAAGCTGCGTGATTCTGAGTTGGCAAGGTCGGCATCGAAGGCCAGAAAGGAGGTTAAGGGACGCGGGATGGAGTTGATTCAAGGGGCCATTCGCTTCATGCAAACTGAGAAGGCTAGGTCGGACTTAGAGTCAGACATCAAAGAGCATGAAAGCAACCTGATTCTGCTGGATCAAATTCATGAAGCAGATTTCTCTGAGGAGCAAGAGAGGACTGAGCTGTCAACTAATCTTTCTGAGAAACGGAGTCGCTTGGCAGCTCTTCCCACTTCGACCTTCAACCCGCTTGACTTTGAGGAATTCTTTACTGAATCACCTCCTATAAGTGAATCGGGTTTGGACTGGGCAGGTAACGCTTGACTCCGGAGGCTTACCTTTTCTTATCTTGTACCTTTGATTGACTGGAATTATTATTCCCAGGTTCAAGCGAGACGGAAGGCATTGTCCCGCCCGTAGCTCCTGTGATACCGGAGGTCACTCCGGAGGTTGGTTGCACCGCGGAGGGTGGTCAGGGAGCTTCATCTGATCAAGCACCAGTCAAGGAGGTGAATGAAACTCTGATTGCTGAGCCGGAGTCCGAGGTGGAGATCATTCCGTAGTGGCTGTGTCCACTTTAAATTGGG